CTAGTTCACCTAAGGGATTATGGAGTTGTATTTTAGAATAGTGAGTTATACACCAAGGAATTGAACCTAACAGCTAAGTTAAGTCGTTGTAATTGCTAAGAAACCAACATAGGACAAATAGACGCCAACGTTGGTAATGACATATATGGGTTTCTAAGCAAGGCCTAATCGTCTTTGATCTGATTAATTTTCTAACAATTTTTATTTTTGCAATTTCTTTTTCAAACCAAACTTTGAAAACCTCCTATTTTACTTTCAATAGTACTTTAGTATTCTTGTTAAAGTAAAACAATCCATGTGGATACAAATTTATTTTATTACTTTGATAATATTTAGTACACTTGCTAAATCTTTATTAGATAACCTCCCCTTCGTTGCCCATTCTAGAAAGTTTTAGGCATCTTCAAAAAGATGGCACTCTCTTCTCAAAGGTGTAGCAAGTTTCAAAGTCCTCCACTTATGAACATTTTAATGAGCAACTTGTTATTGACAACTTTGGATTTCATGAGAAAGAACATTATAAAAGAGATTCATTATCACTACTAGAATCAGAGGTGCTCTCATAACTCCCAAATATCCATGTTTCGAGAACCCTCTAATCGATTGTTTTGTTGACTTGCTTGGAATTTTTATTGTAATATTCATATTATTTTGTAAGTTCTCTACTATTAGAATGTTGAATCATGTTACCCCTCCCATCTAACTCATTCATGATTGCCATTTCTGAAGAGAAAAAATAAGGGTGAAGTAAGGGAAGAAGATGTTATACTTGTTGCGAGGAAAGAGAATGAAATAGAGGTTGGGAGGCTTTGAGTGAAACTTGCCCTACTAAGTGAACAATACGAAATGTCATGATTGGAAAATGGGATGAAGTTCTTCATATAGGGTTAGGAACCTATGTCACATAGGCCATGATTACTTCCCTTTAGGTGCGTACCAACAACTGCAAGGTGAAACTCAATAAATCTCCCTTCCTGACACGTGTAACAGAACCAAGGGTACTCAACAAACTTAACTTCTCAAGAAAATCCCATCATGAGAAACATTTTATATTTCACGTGCTTCCCTAAGTGATGCTCTAGGGACTCGCCCCAAGCTTCACGTGAGGGGATCACAAAATCTTTAAGATGGTAGTACATGCAAATTTAATCACTTCACCCTTTCCAAGGCATCATGCTTGAAGGGTTGCGGGCTGAGATAATTTTATTGGATCTAAAAATGGATTATCCATGATAAAACAACCCTAATTGAGTGTGAAAATGTTAGGCAGGTTCCCTAAGTAGAGCATGTCACTTAAAGTGCGTAGCATACCACTCAGCCTATTTGTGCTTAGGTCTCTCCCCCAATTGAAATCCATGACCAATCTAAGTTACCACACATGGCCTACGACGTGTACTAGGGAAAATCGTGTCTTCCACAATCTACGGGAGAATGAGTCTTCTTCCACACCCACTTTTTAATCATGGAGTTGGGGAAAACGCTTTCTAGTCAAGACCCAATGAGCCTTCTATAAATGCCTCAATCCTAGAATTGTTAAGGCATCCACAAATTCCAAATAGAAATACACAGAGTCTCCTTCAATCTTGACATGAGCAAACTCCCTCTCAACTATTGTACTTTTAGTAAGTACAAGTTTCTAAGGTTGTGGACTTGTTGAGCCAATTGATTGATGTGATATTCATGATTTATTATTATTATTATTATTATTATTATTATTATTATTATTATTATTATTATTATTATTATTATTATTATTATTATTATTATTATTATTATTATTATTATTATTATTATAAATGAAAAAAAATTAATATATAACTGTAAACCACTATTTTTTTTCATATTTTATTTATTCGCCAACAATGTTTTTACTAGACAGATATTTGAGCAATGATTTTATAGAATTTTAAGAATATTTATTGTTGTTTATTTATTTTTGTATCAATTTTAATTTATAGCTTTTAGTTGTGAAATTTATTATTATTATTATTATTAAGTGCTATGGGATATGGATAGATTTTACTGCATGGCGTTTTTCATTCAATTTAAATGTTGAAAATGAGGAAAATAATATTGAACTATATTATAATTTTCTTAAAACTGAAATTATCAAAAAAATTATTTTATTTTATACATAAATCCAACTCAATCCAATCTATAATTATCAAAAAATAGTTTAGTAAAACAATTTAAAAAACATTTTAACCAAACTGAATAACCGAGTCAAATTAAATTAAGTTAAAATAACTGAATTATTATCTTTGATTAGTGAATCAAATAAATTTTTACAAGCGACTGAATCAAATGACAAATAAACCGAACTGAAACTAAAAATGAAAAAAAACTAATTTTAAAACTTTTATTTAAAAAAAATTTAAAATAAGTATAACGGTTCGGTAAAATTCAGAATTATAAATCGGTATATCAAATCAATTATTTTAATCTGCTTCGATTTTAAATATATTGACATGATTTGATTCGGTTCAAGTGACTTTTTACTATGATTTAGTTCGTTTTAGTTTTAAAAAACCCTAAAATTGAGGTAATATGTCAGACCAAAGTTGATCCAATTCAACACCTCAGCCTAATTTTAAGTTCAACTTCTATTAATCAAATTTTATTGGAAAAATATTTGAAAGGAATACTTTTAAATAAATTAAAACTACAATTTAAATATGATATATTTATATTTAAATCTAAAATTAAATAAGGGAAATAAAAGCTATATAACATATCAAACATAGATTGGTTCAAATGATAAGAAATTTAAACTCTTTAAATAAATCATCAAGAATGACGAGGTATTCAATTTTCAATTTTTACTTTTAGGGAAAATTCAATGAAAAAGAAAATCATTTTTTTCTCTCCATTAAAGATCCGTTTATTGTAGTTTTTTTTAAGTGATTTTTATAATTTTGTGTAAAAAAAGTTTAGAATTTTTTTTTATAATGTTACATAAAGCTTAAAACAAAGTGACCTTAAATTGATCAAATCTGTGTCAAAATAAAACATTGGAAGAAAAACAAAAGCTACACAACATATGGAAGAATTAAACGAGAAAAGATTGAACTACAAATTAAATGATAGTACTTTTGTTCCAATTTATTTTCAAGACTTTATTCCTTTATAGGGGAAAAGTATGAAGCTGTCTGTTCTGAAATCTTGTCCCTTGGAGTGTGATTGCATCCATCATGTTTTGTCGTTGTAAAATTGAGTCTCTCTCACACACTACTATACTCACTCTTGGGAAATACATCAAATTCTCATCTTAGACTAAGACCAGTGTCACCTGATCGAATATTTTTTTTTTATGAAAACAATGCAATTTATATTTATGCGTGTATAAATAGACATAGTAATGTTGTTGAATATAACTAGTATCCAATTTGGTTTAACTTTTAAAAACGAATCTAACTATAATTATCCATGAATCAAAAGCTGTTTTTTAAGCTTTTCATCTTTCTACACTGAAACATTGTATACTGTATGAATGAGTATTCTACTCTTTTTCCAATACATGTAAGAAAAAAGAAGAGTGACGGTCACGGGTAACATTATTGTTATCTATATTGTATAGTATAGATAGTGTAGCTAAAAATGAGAAAAGAAAAAAAAGAATAATATTAAGTACTAATTGGTTTGATTGATGATATAGATATATATGCTAGTTATAGGGTTTTGTTTTTATTATTATTTGAAAGTAGTAAAGGACTTTATGATGTTGAAGAAGAAAACATTCCCATCCTATTCCATAAGTCTAAGTTATACCATTGACTAATATTGAAGGCTAAAAAGGATGAAAAAGTATAAAGTTTATGGGGCCATATTGTAACAATATATTTGTGACAAGTAGGTATAGTTATAGGTATATAGGTTGATTTTGGAATTGTTAGGAATGTGAAGAGATTGTTGATTAAGTGATTTTTATGGGCAGAGAGAGAGAAGTACTTATCTCACTAGATGTACATGTGTTATGTGTTTTGTATTGCATGCATAAAATCTGATAATAATAAATAAGAGACATACAAATAGTAGGATTCAGAATTTGCAGGTAGTAGGCCCTCCACCCAACAAAAAGCTAGAAATAATTAATCAATTATAGCTTTCAAATTCTATGCACTATAGCTCGAGAATTGAGTCATTCCATTGTAATAACCAAAGGGTTATACCTAAGAGGCAAACAAAGAGAGAGAGGACATGGACAGTTTTGTTTATTACTTAACTACCCTCTTATATATGCCCATGTTCAATTTAATTCAATAAATGACTCTGGACCATCCATACAAGATTCCAATTCTGGTAACAGTCATTTTTTCTATTTTTTCTATCTCCCCCCACACTTGAATCATATCTATATTGAAATTCCTATTCAACTGTCCCAAAAATATAGATTTTTTTAGTTAATTTCTTTAAAACGATACAACATCCATAGAGTATCGACTTCCTTAACACTGTTTACGAAGAAATATTTAGAAAGAAAGAAGACAATACTAAATACAAATACATATATGGTGGTGTATAGAGGTGAAAAAGTGACAAGTAGTATATCCGTACATGAGTAAATAAAAAAAATGTGTGCATGGAGGCAAGCAATAAAATAAAGAGGAGAGAGAGAGAGAGAGAGAGGGGCAGGCAGTTCGGATTTAGAATTAGTGTGAAAGGAACGAGACGTGAAGACAACAATAAATGAGGTGATGATAACCCTCATCATCGTCACGTCGTTTTTCATTCTCTTGTCCCAATAACAATCTCCCAGAATTCCACGCTCTCTCTCTCTCTAAAGCCTAGTCAACTTCATCTCTTCTTTGTCCCATTTTAATCCAACAATAACAAATACTCTCTCTTCATCTTCATCAACCTATATACAAATTACCATAACCTCACTCTCTTCCAAATACATTTCTATATCTATCAACCCTCCCTACTTTTCCTTTATCTTTTCATTCATTCTTCTATTTATAATCTCATTCTCACTTTAACTTAAACCCTAGCAGCACATTATGTGGATGCTAGGTTACAATGAAGCTACTGACTTCAACAACATGGCTGATTATCCTTTCAATGGAAGAAAACTCAGACCTCTCATTCCAAAACCACTCCCTACTACTTCCTCTTCTTCTTCTTCTCCTAACAACAACATTTCAAATACTACTCCTTCCTTAAACCGCATTCATGGCACCAATGATTTCTTTTCACAATATCACAATCTTCACCAAGGTATATATATATATATATATATTTAGCTTGCATTTTCTCTTTTTTTTTTATGCATGTGAAACCTAAAATTTAATGTTTTTTTTTTTTTTGTGAATCAGTTGGAGATCAAAGCAAGAGATCGGAGATGAATAACCCGGCTGCGGCTGCAGTTGTGGTGAGTTCGAGATGGAATCCGACGCCGGAACAGTTAAGAGCACTGGAAGAATTATACAGAAGAGGAACAAGAACACCATCTGCTGAACAAATCCAACAAATCACTGCACAGCTTAGAAGATTTGGAAAAATTGAAGGAAAAAATGTTTTCTATTGGTTTCAAAATCACAAAGCAAGAGAAAGACAGAAACGACGCCGTCAAATGGAATCCGCTGCTGAGTTTGATGCTTCTCTTGAAAAGAAAGACCTAGGTAAAAGCAAACAAAAATAAACTAATTGTTTAATTTTTTGTATTAGTCTTTCATTATTTTACTCGCTATGTGTTTGACAAAATCACTGTGAGAATGTTTGTGTTGTAAAAATAAAATAATTTTCTTTTGTTTTTGTTAGAGGAATAGAATATCTTTGTTTTTGTATATGACATGCGTTACTTTATCTTTTTCTTATTCATTCGTATTGTTGTTGGTTGAGATGTAAAGTTATATTCTTTTTTGTTTTTCTTTTTGTCTACAGGCTCAAGTAGGACAGTCTTTGAAGTTGAACACACCAAAAACTGGCTACCATCCACAAACTCCAGTACCAGTACTCTTCCTCTTGCAGAGGTCTTTTTTCGCTTACATTATTAACTTGATAAAGATCTTTATTATTCACTCACCAAGCACTGATTATTGAATAAAAGATGAGTTGTTAATTAGTTATAATGAAAGATGGATATGCACAAGAATCACAAACTATAGGTATAGGTGAAAGAAAGGAGGTTAGTATAGGTAAGAAAAGAAAAGTTTTGTTGTAAGTAAATTTGTTGGGAAATGAAAAGGTCCTAAAAGCTGCATTACTTCCTTTCTGTCGGGGCTGCTGTTATGAAACTTAGCTGGGCTTTTGGGGCTTGTGCAGTTGTAGCTTTTAGGCACTCTCCATTATATTCTTCTTTCTATGGAATTGATAAAAACCATCCATATTCATGATGCAAAAGACAACACTCACCTTCAACACTGCTTTTATTTGACTTCACATAGACCAACATACACCTTTAAATAAATTAGTATGTACACTACTATAACTTTGAGTGCATGCAGCATGCTTATTTGAAATCTGTGCATGCTCTTTTTTATTTTTAACCTAAGGTTTTTTGTTTTTTCACCTATGGTTTTTATTAAATTCCTCAGGAATCTGTTTCAATTCAAAGGGTAGCAGCAAAAGCAGATCAGTACTCTAGAACAGATGGATGGGTCCAATTCGATGAAGCAGAAAGAAAAAACTTTATGGAAAGGAATGCCACGTGGCATATGATGCAGTTAACTTGTCCTACCTTCATAAACACCGCACAATATCCTAATAATTCTAATTACATCTCTTCTACTGCAACAGCTAGCATGGCCACCACCACCTCTACCACAGTAACAACTAGACTAATGGACCCAAAACTCATCAAGAGGACGCATGATTTAAGCTTATTCATTTCACCTTTTCACTTAAGCACTAGTAGTAGTAGAATCAACAACAGTACTCACATTCAGCATGAAGATCATTGTTTGGAATCTGATCAAACACTTCAACTTTTCCCAATAAGGAACGAAGGAGATAATGGATGCAGTGATGATAGCATTATTAACCAACACAAAGAGACAGAAATATCAGCTTCAGCAATGAATGCACCAAACCAGTTTATTGAGTTTCTACCGTTGAAGAACTGATTAGAATATATTATAATATATAAAATAAACAAGAGTTTGGTATGCATGTCAAATGACAGGTTTGTATGTTAGGTGTTGGATTTTGTTGGAAAATAGCACTAGTTTTTATTGTTATTGATGTTATGTTTCAAGAAATTGGTAGTGTAATAGACACTGAGTTTGAATGAGGTATTTTCCTTAAAATGCATTTGGACTATGTTGGTTAGTGTTTATTATAGGGCTTATTAGAGTAAGTTGATTATTATGTATACACATGTTGGTTCTGATATATGAAGAATGGGAAAAGAAGAATGTATAAGGAATTTGATGTGAGGGTTTGATTTTGATACATGGTATCTGAAATAGGAATAAGATGTGACAGAAATTGATGTTGAGGTAACTATGAACATGGGTGAGAGAATTGTTTTGTTCTTTTGCTGAATAATTGGAAAGAAAAATAAAATAAAACGATGTTCTAGTATAATGCATTCAATGTTGTGGTGAAGTAAAAACTCTGTAGTCCAATTTATGACATTAAAGAAATCACATCAATGCACCAAAAGGGAACAGAACGGGTGAATAAAAGTGAATCTATGAATTGATTGATATATCCTATGTATTGTTACTATTATTATTATTATTATTATTTTCATACATAAAATTTCCTTTTGAATTTTGATTAATTTATAAGAGATACTTAGTGATTGAAGGTGTGGAATGTAAGAGATGCAACTCTTTTGCTTAGGAGTTATAAGAGTGTATGATTTGAATCTTAATTACTTCTCACTAACATGTGACACATTTAATGGATAAAACAGGCATTTGACTTCAAAATCCAGTAATATTATAACTAGGGAAAAAATAAAATTTAAATTACAATGTCTTTTTGAAAGGACTCTTTTGAAGGGTGAAGTTTAAATGGGAGAGTTTTATTTATCAATTCATGTCTAAAAATGAGATCATTCTCTTGTCGACGAGTCTGAAGAGCGTCAATATTTTGCAGATGTATTCGAATAAACAATTTTCTACATACTAAATTTCTCATGATTATTTTTCATGATAAATTACTTCTCACTAAAATAGATGAAATAAAGGTTTGGAATAAGAATATTATCAAGAATTATTATTATTATTATTATAGTTAAACAAGTTGTGATGAATTTAGGTGGTTGGAAAAGTTACATCCTTATAGTATTGAATTTGTTACATTAAGTAGGGAATGATCCAAGGATTAAGACTAGGACGTGTCACACAAAGAGGCATCAATCATGATCAGGGTAAATATTCCTGATTCAAACCGTGAGTAGGGGACCAATAATTTAGTATACTATTATAGTATTCATTAACTTGATAACTAAGTAATTATAAACCCTAGTAGGTCACACAAACTAGCATATATGTAGCCCTAGAATTTGGCAGTATACTTAATGATCTTTATGGCTAAAATTGAAATACTGATATACGTAATCAGAATTCTGCAAACGAGTTGTTTGTTTTATTCATTGAACTCTTTAAGGTAAAAATCAAGTTTTAAGTGGAGGAAGATTTTTTCATGCCAGATTTGTTTTGTTTTATTTATTGATGATATTAACCAATCACAACAAATTAGTCATGGCTTATGCAGAGTTGAAGCATAAGATGCAGCATAGTCAGAACTCAGAATGAAAATATCTGTCGACATGTAAACATATCAATGATCACGGGTCGAGTTTTTGGGTGCAATTTGACTTGCCTATAATAAATAATAATAATATGTAAACAAATATAGCTCACTTTGCTTCTGATTTATCTGTCTTATACTTCCCTTCCTATTTGGTAGTACTCTATTACTCCCTACAACATCCAAACCAAGCATTCAGAGATACATCACTTTGAACTGAATTATAATATATATTATACACAGACCCTATAATAAATTGGGGAATAGGTTTCATCGGAGACAAATAAAATATATTAGTAGTAACAAAATATAGAGAATAAATCTTTTTTTTAACTATGTAGATACAAGATATATAAAAAATGGACAATATATCAAAGTACTAAGAAAATGAAGAATTAATATTTAACTTAAATTATGTCTTAGTTTATTCACATCACTCTTTTACGTTTTGTATTTAAGGGGTTGTGAACTAGAATAATTTTGTAGGGGCTTTAAAGATATTAACACGTCACCTACTTAACTTAAGAATGACAGGATGAGATTGGGCATGAAAGGGCAACATCACGCGTCGAGCACATGATGTCACCTGTCCCAACTCAATACACCTGAGACGTGAATCACCTGGTTTAACCCATTGCGCCCCAACCCCAAACCATATATGGATGTGTCAAACCACATATCCAAAAATAGATAACTTTAATGTCCATCTGCCTATGAAGGTAACAACTTGGTCAGGGTCAAGTTGATATTTGGCCAAGTCTATAAGTATCTCATATGCATAGTTAAGAAAAGATCAATCACTTTTAACAAATTAGAACCAAAAAAGGCATTCATGTGCATCTCACCGTATGTAAAGTATTCTCTATTGTACTTACAAAAATTACACTTGGCACCCTTACACATGTAGGTTTTTAAGAGATTGCTCATATATTTGATGCCTTAAGGCTTTAGGTGAAGATGTGTCTCCATCTCTTGTGGTCCTAGAGTATTTTGCTCATTTTTACTCTTGTCTTTATAGACTCATTCCCGCCAAGATTTTGGAACCAATTTCTTGACAACAACTTGGTTAGGGGTTCAAACCTATAAATATCTCATACACAAGTTTAGGAAAGGATCAATCACTTTTAACAAATTAGAACTTAAAAAGGAGTTCTTGCACATCTCATCTGATGACACTCTGTCATTGCATATTTTATATCAAAAAAATGGAGCAAAACAAGTCAAATATGAGAAAAGAAAATGAAGAATAAAAACCAAAGAAATATGAAAAAAAATGACCAAGTATGAAGAAATAAAGACTTAACGAAAATCTGATGGAAAAAAGAGTAAAAATGTGCAGCTATTGGAATAATAACGCATAGCATCGTGCGCGTTATAATACTGTCTTGTCAGCATCGCGCGCGCGATGAAGGATATTACACGTACAACAAGGCCTTTTCTAAACCTATTCTGATGTGTTATGGACTGATTTGACAGCTTTAAAAGAGAGTTTTTGCCATCTTTTCAAGAGTTCTGCGAATTGTGACTGAAAGTGATGGTAAAGAGCACAAAGAGGGAAATTTTGAGAGCATTGAAAGTCATTTGAGGCCAGTTCTTCAAGGATTTTCATATTCAATATTCATCTTATTGTTTGGTATTTGATTGTATCATTATGAGTAGCTAAACTTCGCTAATTTAGATTTTGTATGATGAACTTATTTTGAACTTATTGGGACATATGTTTCATTTGTCATTATATGAATAATTGAAGTTATATTTCTACTTAATTGTCTATTTTGCTTAATATTTTTTATGTGAGATACTCTTTTAATCTGATTATGGGTGTATAAGTAATACTGACTATTAGTATATGCGTTGGAACTAGGAAATTATTGTACTTACGCTGGTTGAATAGGGATAGAAAACTCTGAGTAGGAATTAGTAAGTTATACATCAAGGGATTAGGTATAGTGGTTTTGTTAATTCTCCATGAAAATATAACGACTTTATCGTTCATGTAATGCATTGAATATCAACATGGAAGAAATAAGAAATTCTATACAAATTATCTAACTGCTTTTGCATTATTTCATAACAACTTTTATTTTTCACATTAAAACTCAACTCCCTTCCTCAATTGTTACTTTTTATAATTGATAACTATTACTTTGTTAAATAGCAGTTTTCCGTAAATTCAATATCTTTTTATTATTTCAACACTACCGGTACATTTACCGAGAAGTAATCAAAAATTAATAGTTATGTAATATAACTAATTAACTCTTAATCTACTAACTTAACATAACTAATTTAGACTATAGTTATGTTGATATGATGTGATTTGAATTTTCATTTTCAGTATGAATGAAACAAGTAATTTAACTTACTCTTAATGATATTATTTTGAAACAATTTGACTTAAAAAAAGGAAAATGATTGTTCTTGTGATAATTTTGTTGTTTTGGGTTTGTGTTATAAAAAATTTATAGTTTTGTTTTATAGTGGAAGAACATTAATTTGTTGTAGTTATTATTTATTTAAAAAATTATTATTATTATTATTATTATTATTATTATTATAAGTTAAAATATCTTTGACAAATAAATTATATCATATTATTTATTTTAAAATTATATTATTTAATCATTATTAAAAAATTATTTTAATTAATATTCAACAATATTAAAGTTTCATTTATTTTGGTAATAATTACTAATGACAAATTTAAATTTAATAAATTTATTTTGAATGAGTAATTTATATTGGTTTTAATATGTATTAAAATCTAAATACATTAATGAGTAATTAATTTTATTTTATTATATATACACGTTATTGGAATTTTTGGTACGGCATGATCCGTTGAAAGTTTTCAAAACAAATAATTTCAATTAATTGAATTGATGGAATGTAATCAATTTTAATTATTATTTTAAATTTCAATAAGAAACTGTGATTGAAAGCTTGGACATATACATAAAAATATCAAGAACAGTAAACATAAAGTGTAACAATTTACATTTTTATTTTCCCTGTTTTGACTATATCTTTTTTATAAAAGAAATTAGGTCAAATTCTAGGCAAAAACAAATAGTAATCTTACAAGTTTTGTATCTTTGATTTTTCGAGAAGACTCTGTTAAATCCTGAAGGATTAGCATAATATACGAAAAATCTTTAAGGATAGTGCAATCAGCACGTCTTAGACTATCTCATCGTCAACCAACTCAAAAAGTTATTGATTCTAATCGTCAGCCTCAAATCAATGATGTCGAAATATTCAACGTCAACCAACTCAAAAAGTTATTGATCAATGAACACATGCAAACAAGGTATGCCAACACACAATATTAAGTATTATTTCTAATTATTTGTTCGATATC